AGGCGGGCGGGACGGGCGCGACGGGCGGGGGCGCGGCGGCGGCGGGGCCCTCCATGGCCGGCGCGACAGGAGGCGGCGGGAGGCGGCGGGAGGAGGAGGCCGGGAGGAGGAGGAAGTTTCCTCCCGCGCGAGAGAGGAGGAGTGTGGGTTGGGGGGAGATTTTCCTCTCAACCCCCACTTCTACAGGTTGCAAACTGGTTTGAGGGTTGGACCTTTAAATTTTTTTACGGGTTTGAGGGTTTAGAGGTTCTAGTCTACGATGTTTTTTCGGCGAAAATTGTAAAAAAGCGGTTATTTTTAGGGGTTTGAGGGTTTGAGGGCTCTACTAGACTTGCTCTAAGGGCATCTCCATAGGTGTACACCAAATCGGCCCTAAATGTTTGGACCTCGTGTCCGGACATTTTACGACATCCAACATCGTGCCATCGGCCTCACCTCCAATGTGCCTCTAAAAAAATCCCGCAAATTGGCACCAAACCGAGGAGGTTTGCGGGCATCTGAACCTCGGTCACATAGAATTCCAACACCCCTGGCCCATCTGAAACCTCATTTGGGGTCGTGTTTTTCTCAACTCCCCTACCCCATATCTGCTCCCTCCCTCCCAGACTGATGCCACCGTTGTACCACCCCGGCCACCCGCCCAACCATACCTCAGCCACCCACTCATGTGCATGTCTGCCTTGGAGTCCACCGCCGTTCCTCCAAATGCATCAGCAAATTCACCATCGAGCAACTCATGGGCAGCTTTGGGATGGTCTTATTGAGCATATGTGGGCACTTACAGAAGAACTGGAACATATGCGTCAATAAGTTGAATTTGAGTTTGAACTATTTTATTAGAAAATTAATGTTTGAAATATTTATATTTAAACTATTGTTTCATTTGAATATTTGCACTACTCGAATAATTATTTATGCTATATATGCAGTGCGACGGACATAGGAAAAAATAGAGGCAGATGGAGTTGGATGTTTGGTGCATAGGACTGGGTGGCCGACTCCTGTATGGGTCCGCGGATGTGTTTAGTGTGCCCACTTTGGGATACGTCGTTCAAGATGCCCTAATCCAAGAATCTTCATGTTATTCACATGTAGTTTGTCCATCATCACAATGAACACTAAAGAGATTATTGTGTGGGTGAAATTAAGAGTGTGTTTGGTTGGGAATCATGTGGAATGTAATGTGATGGTTCCATTCCAAAGAAACCAGTCAATTCCATTCTTGTGTTTGGTAGAGGTAGAAAAGTATAATAGGTTGATTCTTTTATGTGTTTGGTGAGATAGACTGAGATGAATATGTTAAGCTAGCTGAACATGTTGTTCCATTGCAGAGAAGTATTGCTATATTTAAGTTGCATGGACATGTTTTCATTGAAAACTAAGACCAGTGCAAATAAGCTGAAGGAAATGTAATCTAAAGAAGTGTGAACCTTGCACTATCAATGGATGGCAGCGAAGGTGAAACCCTCGTAAGAATCCGGGGAGCAGCACACACCGATGGGCTCATCTCCTTCCCTTTGGCCCGATGGAGGAAGGGGAGAAGGCTAGTTGGATATAAAGAAGAGGGGATGGAGTAGGGCGTTGCTAGATCGCAGGAGAGGTTGTGTCGACGTTAAGGAAGGGGCAGAACACGAGAGGCGACAACGATCGGGGCAAAAGGGGGGGTGTCTGTGTCAAAACCGGCGGATCTCGGGTAGGGGGTCCCGAACTGTGCGTCTAAGGCAGATGGTAACAGGAGGCAGGGGACACGATGTTTTACCCAGGTTCGGGCCCTCTTGATGGAGATAATACCCTACGTCCTGCTTGATTGTTCCTGATGATATGAGTATTACAAGAGTTGATCTACCACGAGATCATAGAGGCTAAACCCTAGAAGCTAGCCTATGGTATGATTGTATGTTGTCCTACGGACTAAACCCTCCGGTTTATATAGACACCGGAGGAGGCTAGGGTTACACAGAGTCGGTTACAAGGGAGGAGATCTACATATCCGTGTTGCCTAGCTTGCCTTCCACGCCAAGGAGAGTCCCATCCGGACACGGGACGAAGTCTTCAATCTTGTATCTTCATAGTCCAACAGTCCGGCCAAAGGATATAGTCCGGCTGTCCGGAGACCCCCTAATCCAGGACTCCCTCAGTAGCCCCTGAACCAGGCTTCAATGACGTTGAGTCCGGCGCGCAGTTTTGTCTTCGGCATTGCAAGGCGGGTTCCTCCTCCGAATACTCCATGGAAGATTTTGAACACAAGGATAGTGTCCGGCTCTGCAAAACAAGTTCCACATACCACCGTAGAGAGAATAATATTTCCACCAATCTAATCTGCTGACACGTTTTGATAGCATGACATCACGCCATGACCCGGTTATTATTCGAACCATTTTTCTCAACTAGCACCGCACATATCGCGAGGCGGTTTTCTTGACACGTCTTGTCAAAGCAGAGATCATGTTCTCCTTATTACAGGATTCTCATCAATACAGACGTGGG